AAAATAATTGTAATGGAGCTGAAAAATGTAGAGAATCTTTAAAGTATCAAAATATAGATTACTTGAAAAAAATAAAAGTATATGGCATATTCTGGAGAATAGATTAATAGCACTAAAAATGATTATTAGACCAATACTTTAGTGAGTTGAAGGGAAATAAATTCCAGCCTGTGTTCATGGAATGTGTTCATAAATACTGTTTTATATAATATATAGTACTTTGTAAATTCATAGCTAGCTCTTGTTGGCTACTACATTCAGCTCAGGCACTGATTTTACTTTGTATGTAGTGTCTCCGTCCAGTAACTTGTATATGATATAAAAACTGACTTCAGGGTTTGTGTGTTGTTTACCACTGTTGTGGTTTGAATGTAAAATGTCCCTTATGGGTTCATGTGTTTGTACACTTGGTCCTCAGCTGGTTTGGGAAGGTTGTGGAACCTTTAGGAAGTAGAACCTTGCTGGAAGAAGCAGTTCATTGGAGGTGAGCCTTGAGGACTTAAAACTTAGCCCCACTTGTTGCTTCCTGCTTTATCTGAAAGCAGTGTAACCAGTCAGCCTCAGCTCTTGCTGCTTTCCCTTTCCTGCCTGCTGCCAGGTCTTCTTCCCATGATGGACTTTATCTTTCTGGAACTGTAAGCTAAAATTTTCTCCCCTAAGTTGCCTTTGTCAGGATATTTGATTATACCAACAAAAAAATAACATGTCAAACATATATCACACATATTAACATACAAAATAGTATTAATTGACTATATCAGCAACAAGTTCTTAGTATTCTAGTTTTTTAGGAGCCAAAAAGAATATCTAGTAACTGGTGAAGTTTATAGCTTGGTAGTAGAGTTCTTGCCTGGGCCAAAAATACTAGGTTCATAGCATGACAAAGTTAAAAAAACAAAACAAAACCCCCCAAAAAAAACTGAGTTAGAGAATTTTCACTGATTCTGAATGGTATTGATTTGTTGTAAGGTCAACTGAAAATGTTTTATTTTGTGCCTTGAGTTTGTATCTTTAATTTTATTCTATGTTATGTCTATGGGTATTTTGCCTGTGTTAATGTACAACTGTGTACTATATGTGTTCAGTGTCCTTGGAGATCAGAACAGGGCATTGGATCCCCTGGGACTAGAGTTATAGGTAAATCTAAGCAACCATTTGACTGGGGTAGGGAAGGCATTTAAAGAGTGTATTCTATGTTACACTAGAATTTGTGGACTTTCATGTATATATATAAGCTAAATAAACAAATAAGCTAAATCATCTTCAGAGTATTAAGCAATGAGCTGTGTGTGGATCAGTGAGATGGCTCAATAGGTAGGCTCTTGTGCCAAGCGTGAGCACCTGAGTGTCATCTTGGGTCAACATGGAAGAAGGGGAGAATTGATTGCAGCAAGTTGTCCTCTGGCCTCCACACAAATGGCCATGGCAGCTCTCATACCCACACACAACATAAATAAGTGTAAAGGAAATATGATTGCCTCTACCTCTCTAGCCTTGGGACTATGTACTTAGTTTATGCACTGCTGAGGATTGGGCCCCAGGCTTCATGCATGCTGGGCAAATACACTACCACCTGAGCTTGAACAACATTCCCATCCCTAATTAGATTCTAATATTCTTCCAAATAGTCATTGTAGAGTCAAGAGTAAACAAGACCATGTAATAAATGCAAATTAAAACAAAATCTTTTTTGTTAGCCTAGGAAAGGAGCCAACCTCCTGACCTATAAGGCCCTGGCCTGGATGCTTTGCTATCTCTTCCTCTTATCCATAATGGCATTGGGTCACGTGAAAAGGAGAATCCCACGCGGGAACTTCGCATCTGTAAGCTCTGCCTCTGTGTGTAAGAGAGTGGAAACAGACTAACTTGGGCAGCTAAAGCATTGGAGCTGCTCACAGGCCAATGCTAGATAGATATGCTGTCATGATTTGGGAATCAAGAGAAATGAAAATCTGTGGGGCAGAAATAGTGTTGAAACAAAACACTTAACGTTGTATATTTCTTGTAAATGAAGCTTAACTTTAAATGGAAAAAATAAAATCCCAGACCTCCTATTCCTGGAAATGTGAGTGTATTCTTAAGTTTCTAGTCACCTTCCTCTATGTAGCTCAGGCTGGTCCCCACTTTGGTTCATAGCCAGAGACGTCTTCAATTCCTGATTTCCTTCCTCAACCTCCTAAGTGCTGGGGTTGCAGGAATACACAACTATACTTGGCTTTGCCTAGGTAATTTTGGAAAAGTCTTTTGACTTCTAGGGTGTATCAGAAATTCCTACATGCAGTCTTTAAGAAATATACTTAGCTGGCTGCAGTGATGCATGACTTGAATCACAGCATTCCAGAAGTAGAGGCTGGTGGATTGATCTTTGTTGAGTTCAAGACCAGCCAGCCTGGTCTACATAGTGAGTTCCAGGACAACCAGAGATACATAATAGACCTTATCTCAAAACCAACCCACCCTCCACCCGAAACAATCAGACAACCTAAAGTGAAGGAATTTAGACTAAGAGTTAGTTAGTACCTTACATCTGAGAATAAGCTTGCTGAAAACTTGTAGACCCTGTCACGTGGGGAAAGTAAAACCTCTGAGAGGGAAAAATAGAGAAATCAAGTCTTGAAAAAGACAGTTTGGGAGTCAGAGGCAATGGATCTCTGAGTTCAGGGACAGTCTGGTTTACAGAGCAAGTTCCAGGAAAGCTTGTACCAGAAACCCTGTCTTGGGGACCCCCCCCAAAAAAAAGAAAAAGACAATTTGTTCTTGGCTAGAGAAACTTCGTATTTTAGAGTGATTTTTTTTTTTTTTTTTTACTAATAAAGGAAAACAAATCTTGACCTTTTTACACTTGTTAGATGGGCCAAGAGTTCTACCTAGATTGTATGTATGTGGACCGTCTTAAGTGCCCTTCAGTATAAGGTTTATTCAGTATTTTATAGTATGTACATGCAAAAATGAACCATTGTGCAGCTATGTGTTGATTGACAAATGTCTGCTAAATACTGTCTAGTGAAGAAATGAAGATTTTATATCCAAGAGAGTGGTACAATATAGATACATTTGTGTGGCTGTGTATGCATGAAATGTTGTCTAGAATGTTAGAGTATGGAGAGTCCACCAATTCTATGTAGTAATTCAGGATAGCTGAAAGTTGTTTTTATTAACATGGATTTTCCTTTTTAGGACAAAATGTTTATGTCTTAGCAAATTCATGTTTAGTGGTCTTCTCTTTCTGCTTCTTTTATAAAATTTGATTTTCTCTTTCTCAAAAATTTATAAGAAAGCATTTTTGGTTTTGCTAGATTTATTCTGATTATCTGAATCACATTACTTTATGTGTCAATAATTCACATAATGTGAATTCACTTTATGTGAATTACTGACAACTTTAAATGTATGTGTTCCCTTTATAACATATTGGCATTTTGATTGATGGTTTGAATATTTCTTGAGAACACTGTAGTCAAAGTTCTTAAAAAGATACTCATTAATCTTAGAATCAATATGATTTGTTCTTGGATGAGTAATTTTTCTGTAGAAACATCTATTTCTATATTTTTCTTAAATGTTAAAGAAAACCTTAATTAGCAATAGTGGAAATCTGGATTGGTGAGATTATTCAGCAGATAAAAGGTGCTTGCTGCCAAGTCTGATGACTTGAGTTAGCTTCCCTAGGTCCGTCCTACATGGTAGAAGGAGAGAACTGACTCCACAAGCACCTCTCCTCCATCACCCTCATAAACAAACGTGATGATATATTGTATATATTAAGGAATTTAAATACTGGAGATTTTGGTTGAGGAGATGGCTCAGTGGGTAAAGTGCCTGGCAAGCATGAATACCTGAGTTCAGATCCTCAGCACTCACATATAAAGAACAAAAAGTAGGTGTGATGATACATATCTTTAACCCTAGTGCTAGGTAGGCAGAGATTGATATATTCCTGAAGCTTGCTGTCCAGTTTGTACAGCTGAAATGGTAAGTTCCAGGTTCAGGTTGAGATTCTTTCTCAAAAAACAAGGCAGAAAGCAAAAGATAACCAAAATTGACCTTTGGCCTGCGTGCGCGCACACGCACACGCACGCCCTAAGGGGCTTGCTTGCATGCTTAAAGAACATGATAGTTACAATCTTGGATAAAGCTAACACATAATTGAGCAGATACTTCACTAATATTATAGCTGGCTGTATTGATTTACAAATTGAAATTTTTTATTTTCATCTTGTTTTACTTTTTAAATACTAAGATATTTCACGCCATGCCTTCAGTTCCAGAACAGCCAGAGGTACATAGTGAGGCAGTCTTGAAAAAACAAAACTAGAAAGATATTCCAAGGTCCAGGGACCTCCTTTGGGAAACATTTTCCTTGGCATTTACCTTATCATCTATGAGGCAGTTCACCATTTGCTCTATAGATAGCACTTGGCATACTGACTTTTGATATTATTGAGGTTTAATTACTATATATTTAGATACACATTTGGGCATATAATTTATTTGGTGTAATTGTTTTAAGATACAGTGTTACATCTTTTCTCAGTAAATTAAAGAAATATTTTAGAGGAGTTTGTAGAAAGCAAGTTCATTGTATACAATGAAACATGTTGTAATCACCACCTCTTATAAAGTAGTTTTAAATTATTGCTAAAGTAAATTTCAGTATAAAATACAGCTTAGTTTTAAAATAGCATTACTCTTCACAGGTAACCGTAGCTGTAGCACAGCTTTTATCCTAAAGTTTTAGTCACAGTTGTGTTAAATGCTAATACTTAACCTCCCATGTTGCCTACTTAGAAATAAAAGAAAAGCCAAAATCAACCACACATGCACACCCTCTGTTTGCTGTCGTTTAGCCACACCCTCTTCCTATCTTGACCAGAATGGGTTTGATCTTGGTTTATTTTAGTTTAGTTAATTGATTTTCCTTACAGGAAGTCAGGTTTTTTTTGGAGAGCTCTAACTGTGCTATTTGCTGGGCTCTCATCCTTTCTGTTTAAATAATGCAGGTACTTTGATGGAAACCTGGAGAAGCTCTTTGCTGAGTGTCATGTAATTAATCCAAGTAAAAAGTCTCGAACACGCCAGATGAATACAAGGTCATCAGCACAGGATATGCCTTGTCAGATCTGCTACTTGAACTACCCTAACTCGGTGAGTACCTGGTAGTTTAAGGCTAGCACTATGTCAGAGGGTTAATCAACTTTCATTACTTAAACAAAGGACAATCTGGAAGCCTGGGAGCAATAACTAACTGTATCAGTAGCCTATTAGTAGATTAAGAATAAGGAAAGGAAGAGGAAAGTCCTAGTTCTCTTCCCATTCCTGCCCCATTTGCTTTTCAGACCTGTCCAAGTTATCATTAAATGCCTGAATCTTTCTGGAGTTTATTTTACCACTACTTGAGAACTGTGTAATAATAGGCTGACAGTTTATAAACCATTGTTTATACAGCTTAAAATAGATTCAAAATTTATTGTTTCAGATAATCAAAACCCTTATACATTTTTTAGAGTACTTTCAGGACTTCATGTTCACTTATATTAATCTAGTCTGACATAGATTCTTTTTGTTTGTTTTGTTTTTTCAAGGCAGGGTTTCTCTGTGTAACAGCCCTGCCTGTCCTGGATCTTGCTCTATAGACCAGGCTGGCCTGGAACTCACAGAGATCTGCCTGGCTCTGCCTCCTGAGTGCTGGGATTAATGGTGTGCGCCACCAACACCCAGCCTGACATAGATTCTTAAAGATGGCAAATGGGGCCAGAATTAGAACAGAATAGAACCAAATAATAGTATTTCTCTTAAAATAATGTCAAAGTTTTATTGAGTTACAATGGTATACTTTAGAGCATTTAGTAAATAAATTTCAGGGTTAAATGAAGTCTTCATATTAAAACATTACCTTATTGGTAGCCATTGCAAAGTTATTTTGTGGCATAAAGATGTTTAATTACTTGGAATTCATCTTTCAAGATATTTTTATAGATGAGAAAGTGTTTAACTCTATAATAATTAGTACCATCTTGGTAATTTTTTTCTGCTTTAATAGATAAACAGTTCTTTTTTTATAGTTGCATAGTTATTAGGTATTTCTCAACAGCATTTTAGACTCTTGAAGATTTTCATTGTTAGTCTTAGAATTTTAGATATCTCTCTCTAAAGGAGTTTATTTGAAAGGTGCTAACTTGTTCAAATGATCAAGTTTTCTTTAAAGTTAGAGAAAAAGAATGATCCATGACCTACTTTGATAGGTAAAGTGTGAAACTACGTTTCTGAGTTCTCAAGTCCTAGCTGTGCCTTAAACCAGTGTTTTGCTTTGGAACTGATCCACCAGTTTCACTTAGGGTGGAGTTTTATCTTTCAAATGAGCTGGCTTGGATATCCTTCAGATCTCTACAGCCTGTGAGCTGTATCACTGCCCTTTCCTTAAATCATAATCCCAATGTATTTGTACAATAACTGACTTTTGAAATACATTAAACTCAGGTTTTAATACCTTTATTATCTTGAATAGATTTTTTTTGCCAATTAAGATTTACACCATAATTACAGTTTCAAAGGTCTCTGTAAGCTAGTACTAAGATCCAAATAATTTGTCCCAGTTTATAAATGGCTTTCTTCTTTTGCCTTTTTCTTCAGCTTCAATATAGCCAGTTTCTCCTTCATTGAAATCTTTAATCTTGGAGCTAGTTGCTACCAATATCAGTTATATTTTCAGTGCCCCTGATATTGTCCAAAAGTCTTAACAAAAACTTGACCAAGCATTTGTAGTGTATATTTTGGCTTTGTATGCAGCAGATGATGGAGAAGTTAAATGATTAACATAGCAGAAAGTATTCTAAATTTTAAGGACATAATGGAGAATAAACATAGACTTTGTCTTCATAGAACTTACAGGCTAGCTGGTCAAATTCATAGGGCATTCAGAAAGAAATAGGTGCTTTGAGATAGCAGATAAATTATACTATAGTACCGTGTTGGAGGAACCTGGGTAGTATTTTTCTTAATCTGTTTTGAATTTTACATTTATTTATTTTACTCTGTATGTGAGTGGTCACGTGTGTGGAGATCAGAGGACAGCTTGTGGGAATTGGTTCTCACCTTCTGACACGTCTGGCATGTTCTCACCTTCTGTCGGCCTTGGCAGCAAGAGCCCTTACCCCTGCACCATCGACTCAGCTCTGTTACTTTTCTTGTTGCTGTGACCATGCACCTAGCAGGAAACAGCTTCAAGGGAGTGCGGACTTACTTTTGCTTGTAGTTAGAGGATACAGTCTGTTATAGCAGGGAAGGTATGGTTGTGGGGATGGAATGTTAGACATTTGGTTATCTTATCTCTACAGCCAGGAAACAGATTGTTGGCTTTCTCCTTTCCCCCTTTTAATCATTGTGAGTCCCCAGGCAGAGGAATGGTGTCCCACCTGCTTCAGGGTGGGTCTTTCTCCTTGGTTAATTCTTTTTGGAAACACTCTCATAAGCAAACACTAGGGATGTACCTCCTAAAGATACTAAATGCAGTCAGATTGATAATGAAGATTAACACCCCTTGTGAACTTGACACCCACATGGCCACATTAGACTGCAGTACAGTGCAAGTTCACTTTCTATTGTTGTGATAGAATACCTGAGATAATCAACCTGAGGAGAAAAGATTTGCTTTGGCTCATGTTTTCAAGGCTTCAGTTCTTGGTCTTCTTGCTTTAGGGCCTGTGGGAAAAACAGACTTCATGATGCGGTCCCTGGGGGAGTAAAGCCAAGCCTCTCAACTTCCTTTCACAGGGACATTTACATTTATAGTTACTTGACTAAACTTCCAACTAAACTAAGTCTTGCTCCTATGGGTTCTATAACTTCTGAGTACCTCACAAATATAAAGGCTTTAGAGGACATTTAATATCTAAACGACAACAGACACAGTTTATTTATGGATCTAGCACATCCATGGCAATCGATAACTGAGGCTGTGATAAGAAAGTCAGGTAGAAGAAAGGAAAGTAGGAGTGCTAAGAACTGAAGGAAAGAACCTGGAGTTAAGGGGTTAAAGTTTACTGGTGACCTAGGCGAGTTACTCTAAGTTGTGTGGTTAAAGAGTTATGAATGGAAACTGCTGATGTTGGGAACAGTATAATCCTAACACAGCTCTTTTCTCATCATTTCTAGATGAGTGTGCACAGATGATGGCTTCTGTTTAGTTTTAGCAGTGTCACCTGAAACCCTTCATGGAACCTTATTAATGTGTTGAGGGATGTCTTTGAACTACTCTGTTAGACATTGGCAGTTTTCTCTTATTTATACAAGTATCTTAGCTTCCTAGAAAACAATTTCACTATTATACAGTGTCACATGAATAAAGGCTATTAAATAAATGGTGTGTGTGTGTTTGTGTAAGTAAGGATTTTTTGTTCTGTTATTTTCATTTTCAGAGACAAGGTTTTACTATGTAGGGTTGGCCTTAAACTCATGATCTTCCTGCTTCAGTCTCCTGAGCACGAGATCACACACTTGACCTAAATAAATGTTTCTGATAGCTTCCTTTCCATAGTACTTTGGAGCTAAGTATCTGGGAGAGAAGGTCTCACTTTGAACTAAGATTTTGGATTGAGCACTGTGTAACTTCACAACAGCACCACTTTGTTGGCACATAACTCAGGAATTTTAAGATCTTGATTATGCTTACTTATTTTGAATTCAAGTAGCTTAAAACGTAGGTGAAGTGCCTGTGACCCTCTAAAATGCTGTGACTATAGGCATATTCCATCACACTTGGCTTTTTTTAATCTGTCATTTTACTAAAAAGTGTAATATGTGCTAGAATAGTTCACTTTTATGAAGTAATTTTTATTCTTTAAGATTTAGCTGGCAGTGGTTGCACATGCTTTTAATCATAGCACTTGAGAGTCAGAGGCAGGTGGATATCTGTGAGTTGTCTACAGAGCTATGTCCATGACAGCCAGGGCTACACATAGAAACCTTGCCTTGAAAACAAAAACAAAAACAAAACAAACAAAAAGACTTAGAATTTGTTAAATAGAGCCCCATTCCCATGTTAAATCTCCCATTTAGAATCTTGGTGCTTTTGGCATTAAGCACCAGCACTACTTGAAAGTATCCAATCTAGGTCTACTCCTCCTTACTTTTTAAAGAAGCTGCTGATTTGTTTGTTTGTTTGTTTTTGAGGCAGGGTTTCACTATGTAACAACCTTGGCTGTCCTAGAACTAGCACTATAAACCCGCCTGTCCTCAAACTCAGAGGGATTCGCCTGTCTCTGCCTCCTGAGTGCTGGGACTAAAGGCGTGTGCCACCACTGCCCACTTTATTTTTGATTATGTGTATAGGTGGAGCAAGTTGTGCACATGATTGCAGTGCTCACAGAGGCCGAGGAGGGTATGTCAGATCCCCTAGAGCTGTAGTTGAGGCAGTGCTGAGCTGCTTGACATGGGTGCTGGGAAGCGATTATATTCTTAACCTCAGACCCATCTCTCCCGTCTATTTTCCTTCTTAACCATCCCATTAAACTCTTGAGAGAACTGAGTTCCTGTATTATTCTATTTGTATAGACAAACTGCCTTTAATATTTTTTTAGATTATATTGGCAATTTCTGATGGAGGAAAGATGATTTTTTTAATTGAAAATAGTTATATATATATATATATATATATATATATATATATATAGTGTGATCATGGTTTACTCTCCCCAGAAAGACAATTCTTACTGAACTTTAAGAATCTGCTATTATCTGGATGTGATGGCACATACCTTTAATCCTAGTGCTTAGAAGGCAGAGGCAGGCAGATCTCTTGAGTTTGAAGCCAGTCTTATTTACATAGTGAGTTCCAGGTCTGTCTAAGCGCCCCCTGCCCCCCATTTTTTAAAAAAAATATTACTTGCTATGTATGTAAAATAAAATGTTAGAAATTAAACCTTCTTTAGATCCTTTAAGATCATTTCTGTTATAGATGATACTATATTAGTTATTATTACTCTTGTTTTGATTTATTTACAGCATAAACAAGGGTAAGTTTAATTAATGGTCAAGTTTCATGAGTTAAGTAAGGACCAGGGAATCAGGTGTATGCTTACAGACTCAGAACTTGAAAGGCTAGTTAATAGTTAAGATCATGAGCCGGGTGGCAATGTTGCATGCCTTTAATCCCAGCACTCAGGAGGCAGGGGCAGGCAAATCTACAGAGCAAGATCCAGATCAGACACCAAAACTACACAGAGAAACCTGTCTGGGGGAGGGGGGGACGGGGGACAATAGCGGAACAGAATATACTTTAGTAGTTAATGTGATGTAGAGAAGGTAGATTATGCAGGATATGGTGTTGAAACAATATAGAGGTGAAAACAGACTCAAATTTGCTTAATTTCGAAGCCATACATTTAAAGACTGATGGCTTTTGACCATGTATAGTAAAGTGTTTCTGCAGAGCTACACAATGTGAACACTCTAAATCGAAACTTAAGTATTTTCTATAATTTTAAAGGCCAATTATAGTAAAAAAAAAAAAAAAAAAAAAAAGGTCCTGTAAGTCTTTGGGTGTGTGGCAACCTAGTGAGAAATTAGCAAACTATGTAAAGAAAATGGACAGAATTGGACATATTCCACCCCCCACTCCCCACCCCCGCACAAAGTTGAAGCTTCATTCTTAATTTTAAAGAATGAAGTTAAATTTATTCAAGGGGTATGGATCTGGGAGGAGGTGGGAGGGTAAGAGTAAATATGATTTAAAAAATTACTTTGTAAAAATTTCTCAATGAACAGACAGGTGTGCTGACACATACCTTTTTAATCCCAGCTCTCTGGGAGGCAGAGGCAAATGGAGGGCTGAGTTCAAGGACAACCAGGGATACACAAAGAAACTATGTCTCAAAAAGTAAAGCAAACAAAAACTCAAAGAAATTACAAAGATATATTTTAAGGACTAAATCATTTACTTGTTTTTTACGCGGTCAAATCGGTGAAAACTCTGACATGGTGAAAACTCTGACATGGGCGGAAGAAACTATATACTCTTCTTACCTAGTAGGAACTGCTACCACTTTACAAGTACCTGATAATAATTGTCGAATTGTACTTGTATACCTGTCATCTTCTACGTATTCCCCTCTAAAAAGTCACATGGTTACAAAGTGTATTACTGTCACTGTGGCAAAATGGTAGGAAAAGTCTTGTGTGACCATTAATAGTAAAGAAATGGTGCTTTAAAAGGAGGTAAACCATGGGACCAGAACACTTCTTCCTCTTGCAGAGGACCTAAGTTCATTTCCTAGCACCCACATTGGGTAGCTGTGGCTCAAGCTCCAGGAAGATTCAACAACACTGGTCTCCTTGGCCACCTACAACATACATCTGTGTATCCTTCATTCCCTCACATGTACACAATGGTTAAAATAGTAGAAATATGTAAACAAAAGGGAAAAGGTAAATGGATTTACCATTATGGAGCTGCAGCAGAAATTAAAAAATGGAAACAACAAAAGTAACAGAGTACCAAGGAGAGCATGAGATTCTCATACCGTATGTGTACATTAGAATGTCTCTGTAAGTACACTTCAGAAATGAAAACAACAGCTGTTTCTAAGTGAAGGAGACAGAATAGGGGCATAAACAAGGGGATTAATTTTTCTATATAAACACATACTACGAAAGAATTTGTCTTCTTTTAAAAATGATCCCGTCTCACAGTGCTGCTCATACTGAAGTGCAGTAACTACTAACAGGTGCTTCTCCACTGCTGGTGCTCAGGGCAGTCCCCTGATAGGATAGTCCAAACCCCTTGTAAGTGAAATGGGTTGTTTGCTTCAGTCCCCCACGCAACTGGAAGTACAGGCACATGCCACTTGTAAACATAACTATTAATAAGCATTGCTTAAAAAGTCTCACATCCTTGTCAACACAGCTTTACCAATCTAACGTGAAAAATGAAGTAGTTGATTTTATTTTTAAAATAGAATATTTTTAAAAATTCTTTGAAGTTTTTTTTTTTAACTCTGTGTGGGTGCGTGCGTGCGTGCGTGGGTGTGTGTGTGTATACACAAGTATTTCTCTGTGTCGTTTTGGAGCCTGTCCTGGAACTCACTCTGTAATTCAGGCTGGCCTCAAACTCAAAGAGCCTGGCTCTGCCTCCTGAGTGCTGGGATTAAAGGTGTGCGGCATAACTGCCCAGCTTAAGCTTGCTTTTTTGTTGTTGATGTTTTAGTATTTATTTGGCAGTGCTGGAGAATCTAACCTAGGACATCAGACAAAGTAGACAGAAACTGCCACTGAACCTTCCCAGGCCTGTAAAATGTTCTGAAAGCAAAACAAGTTACAAATACACTGTACTTGATTCAGCCATTACCTCTTAAGTTATTAGTCTTAAAAAACATTGCAGATGAAGATAAGAACAAAATGTATTAGGCTGTCTAAATATCTTGGATTCTCTTGCCCTAAGCCTCATATTGCTGGAACTGTAAGCATGTACTGCCATATGGGCTTACTGTTGTTAACTATTTATTTATTTTATAGTTAATGGGAATTAATCCTAGAGTCTCATGCTTTTAGACAAGTGTTTGAACATTGAGCTGTATCCTGTATAGTCAAGGCTGGTCTTGAATTCTTTTATTTATTTATTTTTTCATTTTCATTTTTATTGGAGACAGGGTTTTTCACCATATCCCTAGCTGTCCTGAAACTCGCTCTGTAGACCAGAATGGCCTCCAGCTTGCAGGGACCCACCTGCCTCTGCTTCCCTGGGATTAAGGGTGTGTACTACCTTGTCTAGCTGGTACTGACCTTTTGATCCTCCTGCTTTACTACTAAGTTCTAGATTATAGACATCTGCCACTATACCTGGTTCAAAATAAATTTCTCAGTTTACTAAAAAATTTTATTTTTAAATGACTACATTCTGTGAAATTCCATGAAGTCCTGTATGTATTTGAAAAACATTTAAAGTTGCACATGCCTTTAACCCAGCACTTGGGAGGAAGGTAGTCAGATCTGAGTTCGAGGCCAGCCAGGGCTACATAGAGAAACCCTGGTTCGAAAAAACCAAAAAGAAAGGGGGGAAAAGAAAGGAAAAGAACACAAAAACACTCCTGAAAAACATTTAAAAATACCATCTTGTTGAAATAGTGCTTTCATAACTATCCTAGCACACTATTTAATGTGGATTTTGTTATATTCCTATTTTTGTATGACCATCATAATTATTTTTAAATTTTAAGTATTATCCCCACCCTCCTTTAAAAAAAAACCTGTATTTTTTTAATATTCATTCCTCCTTTCCCCACAAATATACAGCCTATGGCAAATATTTTCTAAGGATTTATTGTTCGGTATCTTTTATTTAAATAGAATCAAATTATATGAGTCCTTTTGTCATTGGCTATTTTCATTTAGCATGTTTTCAGGGTTCATTCATGTTGCAGCATCTATCATAACTCTATTCTTTTTTGTGACTAAATATGCCATTATAAAGCTGTTCCACATCTGTCAGTTGATAAATATCTGCGTTGTGTCTGTATTTCTCTATCATGCATGGTGCTAATATAAATACTGTGTACAAATTCTTAAGCATGTGCATTTTCATTTCTGGGAGTATACTGGCTGGGTCATAAGGTGTGTTTTCAATGAGAGTGGGCCCCATAGGTTCATGTATTTGAATGCTTGACTCCCAGTTGGTGGCTGTTTGGGAAGGATTAGGAGGTTTGGCCTTGTCAGAGGTGTGTCACTTGGGTGGGTTTCGAGGTTTCAAAAAACCTGTGCCATTCCACTTAGCTGTCTCCTGTCTTGTGTTTGTGGGTCAGATGTACGCTTGCCTGCTGCCGTGCTTTCTGCCATTGTGGTCATGGACTCTTAACTTGGAGCCCCAAACTAAACATTCTTGTCATGGTGTTTTATCACTACATTAGAAAAGTAACCAGGAGAGAAGTTATGACAATTTTAATATTTTAAAGTAGTTGTTGCCTGGTTGTTTTCCAGAATTGTTCTCATCAAGCAGATAATTGGAGCAGGTTTCCAATTTTTCCATCTTCTTACTTGTTCAAATCTGTCTTCTTGATTACCACTCTCTTAGTGAGTGTGACATAGTGTCTCATTGCAGTTTGATTTACATCTCCATGATAGCTAATGAAATTGAACATCTTTTGTGCTTAGTGATATCCTTATTATATATTCATTATTTAATTCAAACTTATTGTCTGTCTTTGTAAAACTTATAAATATCAACGACATGCATTTCCTATTAGGTAGACTATGTTCAGAGTATTTGTATATTTAGATTTCATCATATAGAAGTTAATTTTAGGAGCTCTGATTTTTGTCAAATGGACATTTTAACTATTGTTAGAATTGTGAGATTATGAAGCTCTGAGGCACTATGTAGTTTTATTTTTTTTTTTAAATAATGTCTTTGTTAAAGTTTATGTTTTATTTTTGTTACAGTATTTTACTGGCCTTGAATGTGGACATAAGTTTTGTATGCAGTGCTGGAGTGAATATTTAACTACCAAAATAATGGAGGAAGGCATGGGACAGGTAATTTGATTTTCACTTATTAAATTTACTTGTTTAGGTTCTTGGATAACTATAACCAAGTAAAAGTTTTAGGATTAAACATTTTTTCTAGATTAAAACAGGCTTTTAAAAAAAAAAAAAGACTTTGCAGTTAAAAGTCTAATTTAGGCCGGGCGGTGGTGGTGCATGTCTTTAATCCCAACACTCGGGAGGCAGAGGCAGGTGGATCTCTGTGAGTTCGAGGCTAGCCTGGGCTACAGAATGAGTTCCAGGACAGGCTCCAAAGCTACACAGAGAAACCCTGTTTCAATAAACCAAAAAATAAAAAAATAAAGTCCAATTTAGATAAAGTGATTCTAGCATTCATCAGCCCTGATAATCTCTATCAGGCTTACCCTGATAGAGAGAGTACTTCTGTCTGGTATTTTGCTTGTAACTTTCCTGTTTTGTGCGTGTGCGTGTGCGTGTGCGTGCGTGCGTGCGTGCGTGCGTGCGTGCGTGTTTTAAAGTACTTACAAGGATAGTTACATTCAAAGATGTGTCATCAGAACCGAGCAAACTGCCTGGCAATGGTAAGCATCATGTAAATATTGCTGAATGAAGACATAGTTTAAATTTTGATCTTTTTCAGACTATTTCATGTCCTGCTCATGGTTGTGATATCTTAGTGGATGACAACACAGTTATGTAAGTATTTCTGCCGCAGTCTGTATGTTGATTGTTGTTTTATTGGTTAAACCAATTACCTTTGCCTGAGGCCCTTCAAGAAGGTCAGTTACTGACATTCTGAAGACCTTTTGTTCCACACTCACTTCTTTGTAATGCAGAAAGACACTTGCAGTTTGCTTAGGAGTCACTCTTAGGGTCAATTTGGAAATATATGGTTGCTAAATTTTGGTAAATCTTAAAATTATATAATGGGATAATGAATGTGTTAATTGATATCCTCTGAGAAACAGGCCAAGACAGAATCAAGGAAGAGTTTTGGAGGCTGAGAGTGTTGCTCAGTGAGTTAGTTACCTAGCTTATGTGAGGTCCTGGCTTTGGTTTCCAGCACCTACCAAAAAACAAAACAAAACAAAAATGGAAAATAATAAAAAGGAATGTGACTCATTATGAAAATATGTGTGCTGGATTACATTAAAAAGAGAGGATCAGATCGACTCAGTACAGGTACATAATGCTGGAGAAGGAAAGAAAAGGTTTTCAAAAAGAAGAAACTTATTGTCCTAGTTAGGGTTTCTATTGCTCTGAAGAGACATCATGACCACAGCAACTCTTAGAAGGGAAAACATTTCATTGGGGTGGCTTGTTTCCAGTTCAGAGGTTCAGTCCATTGTCATCATCGTGGGACATGGCAGCGTGCAGGCAGACATGGTGCTGTAGCACTAGCTGAGAGTCCTACATCTTGTAGGCAACAGGAAGTAAACTGACAGTCACACTGAAGGAAACCTGAGCAAGAGAGATCTGTAAGCACATTAACACACTTCCTCCAATGAGGCCACACCTACTTCCACAAGCCATACTTCCTACTAGTGCCGTTCCCTATGAGCTTATGAAGGCCAGTTACATTCACACGACCATACTCAGCTGAGTCTGCTATCCTTTAAGGATCCCCAGCACTTAAAATTCCCCACACAGGACTGCCCCAAGAAAGCAGAAGGTTATGCCAGCCCGGGGATAGAGTGGTTTCTGCTGAAATACTGCTACTAATTTCAAAGGCACTGCAGCTGGAAGCTGTAAACTAATTGTTCTCCTGTACAAATGTTCTCTTTGGGTGGAAAAAAGAAATTGAAGGAACAAAAGTATAGTGAATTCCTGGTGTAAAACTAAGCTTCTTAATTCCTGGGCCAGTGCTGTCTTTGTGCCCTCAAGTTGTCATTCCAGGGTGCCAAGCAGATGAGATCTTGGATGATCCCTAAACAAATTGTATAATTAGTTTTAGGTAATTGCTTATACAAGAAGTTTTATCTGTGATTAAAAAGTAATAAAAAGAAATGGCAGCAGTATGTTTTAATGAGTGAATTTAACGTATTAAAGCTAAATTACCCTGACCAGCGCAGCTCTTCTAGCTCACCTATTCCACTTAAGGAAAAATTTTGCTTTGTGTGTATGCACATGAGTGCACATCCCAGCATGCACATAGAGGTCAGAGTAGAACCTCTAGGGAGTGAGTTTTCTCCTTCTACTATGTTAGTCCCAGAGATCCAACTCAGGTTGTTAGGCCTGTTGGAAAGTGCTCTTAATTTGATGAGCCTTCCTGCTAGCCTCTGCTACTTTTTCTTTTCTTTCTTTTTTTTCTTCATTTCTCGAGAAAGGGTTTCTCTGTGTAAACCAGGCTGTCCTTGATTTCAGAGATCCACCTACCTCTGTCTCCTCAGTGCTGGGATCAAAGGTGTGCCCAGCTCCGTTCTACCTTCTTAACTTCAGTTTACTTTGGTTAATTTAGAACATATTTCTGCTATTACCAGGTCTGCATTAATCTTGTTTGTCTTAGAGTTACTTCTATTTCCATCACTGTTTAGGCTACCAAAATAAATCAGCTACCACCCACCACTCTTCCACTTGTTATCTTATCCCCTGGTCCTTTTTTTTTGTTGTTGTTGTTGTTTTGTTTTTTTTGAGACAGGGTTTCTCTGTGTAGTTTAGGTGCCTGTCCTGGATCTCACTCGGTAGACCAGCCTGGCCTCAAACTCACAGAGTTCCACCTGGCTCTGCCTCCTGAGTGCTGGGATTAAAGGCACACGCCGCCGCCGCCACCCAGCCCCTTGTGCATTCTTATCATTGTGTTTTTTCCTGTGTTAGCTTTATCCTACCATCCAGTGCACTGTATTCTTTCATTCATTCCAGAAATTGCTAGGAACTTCCTTGGTATATATACAATTCTATTCCCCAAAAGGTTCACAATAATAAGGGTAACATAAAAGGTTAAGTACATTGTATATGTAAAGTAGTATTAGAAGGAAACAAATTATACCTTAAGACTAGAAATAACACAAAAGGAGTAAAAATTAGGGGTGAGGAAATGCTGGGTAATATTGACTAAACAAAATGTCAGTAGCTTTTAAATAGTGATGAGCTTTTCTCTTAGGTATTTTGCAGTGGCTAGACCAGAGAGGGGGAGGGTTTATTATCGATGGGGATGAAAAGAGTTTAACAGTTCATCATGGGTTCTTGTTACAGACACTAGTCAAGACTATAGCTATATGATGTATATTTTAGAAATACAACTTTGTAGTCGAGAATGCTTTAAAATGGGGAAATATTGGGTAGTGAGATTTGTTTAGAAGGTTGTTATGTAGGTTAAAGAAGATTTAGGAGTCAAGATTTCAGTGGGAAGCAAGTTAAAAACAACAGAATTTACAAACAAAACTGATTGTGTGACATGAAAATTTGTGTGGATTGTCTGTTTTCAATTTGATGCATTAGTTAGGAACTAGTAACCTTTAGGTTTCGAATCCATTAAACAGGGTAAATAACAGTTAAAGTAACAGGAGAGGAAACCAACACTCCTGGGAGAAATGTAGGGTGAAAAAAGAAAAGATTGAAGTCTTAGAGGCTAAACTTTTAGTTGAAAGACGAGTAGTAGTCAGGCATGGTACACTCAAGAGGCAGATGCAGATGGATTGCAAATTTGAAGCCAACTTCTGCAGTCTACAGTTTCAAAAGAGAGTGCACAAGTTAGATGCAGTCAGACACTTAGGTGGTGCTTTGAGTGAAAAGTCCAGGAACTAAAGGAGTAGAAGGATGTCATAAAGAGGTCACTAGTGATGTTACTTTCCCAGAATTATAAACGGGAATAACAGTGAAAACAGATTATTGGGTTTCCCTACTACAAAACAACTTTACTAGGAAGATAGTAGATGTAAGATTGCAGTGAGTTAGTTATGAGTAAAAAGTCAGCGAAATATGGTAGTTCAAGGAGATGAGCTATCAGTTATATCCCAGTAGATTTCAGACTGAATTATGTATTTGATATCTAGATACTCTAGTCACCCTAGATACTAGAACATCTTTTTAATGAAAGAAATGGATACAAGCCCATGAATGTCACTGCCAGTTAGAGTCAACAAGTTGTTCAGTTTTCTCAGGTATTTTAAGGATACTCTTAATAATGTCGTAAGCATTGTCTTTCAACATGAACACACTGAAACCGTAAGGATCTTGGAAGTTCAGGATCACAGTTGGGACACTCCTTCCTCTGAGTTAACCAAAGCTTATTTTCATATGTTTTGTATAATGGGTTGCTGGTTAAAGTTCTTTTTGGGAGAGGACTGGATAGAAAGTGGACAAATATATATCTAAGACATAAAACCATTGTGCCTTGTTTCCTTGAAATCATGGGATCATTAAAGCAGATGATATTCCAGTTTTAGGGAGGTAACTGTTGTTACAGTGTCTGTCGTGCAAGCACAAGGACCTGAGTTTGATCCTTATAACCCACATTTGGAAAAGGGGGAAAAGCCAAGCATGGTTACATGCACTTGTAACCAATCCCAATGCACCAGAGATTGTCTGGAAAACCCAAAATGAATGTCACTGGAGTAACATACCAACATCTAAGGTTGTCCTCTGGCCTGCATGTGCACAAAATATGTATGTATGTATATTATATGCATACCCCCCAAAAAATCAGAAAAAATAAGATGATACTCCTATCGAGTAAGCAAAGCGGGTCATAATAAATTCACACAAAACTCACACAAGTGTAAAGCAAAATTAGATACTCCAACTTAAGGGTTTTTTTTCTTGTTGTTTGTTTTTAGTATTTCAGATTGGGTAAAGATGAAAGAATTTTGATAATATCTAAAGTCATGGGAATATAATACCAGAGGTAGAATAAAATGTTAATAGCAGGAACTTTCATTATCTTAATAGTGCTATTCTTAACGGTATGAAACCATTCTGTCTAGCTAAGATCAGCCATAATAAATAGTCTGTGAAATCAGAGAAGCATTATGGATAATAGATGTATAAATGTCTTTGGAACTAGAGCATCTGACTTAGTTACGTACTTTATTTTACTGATATCAAATCCATAAAACAGTAGATTAAAACCATTTTAAAGTGTGTGTGTGTGTGTGTGTGTGTGTGTGTGTGTGTGTGTGTGTGTGTGTGTGTGTGTGTGTGTATGTGTACACACGAGCAATTTACTGGTACAGTCATTACTTTTCCCCAATTCCTGATTGTTTTGTTCTAAGAGACTGTCTTAGAACAGTACGAACTGGACTTAGAAGGAAAAACTCTACTGTGTCAACCTCCTAAATACTAGGGTTGCACTCGATTCTAACATACTTTCATCATTTTGTTTCCATTCAACAATTCCTTCAACTTCCAATACTTTACTAAGTGCTTGTCTGGTTTCTATGTGTATTGATTGGTCTAATCTAGAAATCATAAGTAAACAAAATCATAATATGTGTTGTCATCCGTCTGTCCCATCCTGTGTCCGTGCCACCCCTGCCCCCCTTCATTATTTGGCATAGTGGTTTTTATGAGATTCATTCACTTTGTGGCATGAATCACCAGTTAGATCTTTTTATTGTTGATTTGTGTTTTTATTAGAGCAGTTTCAAGTTTGTGTGAACAAGTTTTTGTCATGGACATTGTGTATAAGATCTTGTGAGACACCCATTTTTCATTCTAAGTGCATATATCTAGGAGGGAAGTTGAAGAGATTTGTGGTAATGCTGTGTTTAACTTGTTGAGAAACTGCCAAATAGACAAATTATTGCTAGACCTTGCTTTCAACATTTGTGAATATGAAGATTAATTCATTTAAAAATACCTAGCATCCGGATGGTAGTGGCAGGAAGATCTCTGTGAGTTCGAGGCCAGCCTGGTCTACAAAGGGAGTTCCAGGACATTCAGAACTGTAACACAGAGAAACCCTGTGTTGACTCCCTCCCTCCCCAAAACAACAACAACAACAACAAAACCTTATCAGACACTGAATAGTTCAGACAGTGTGCTGGATACAGGATATTTTTTCTTTTTTCTTTTTTTTTTTTAAATTAATTAATTAATTTATTATGTACACAGAAGAGGGCACCAGATCTCATTACAGATGGTTGTGAGCCACCATATGGGTGCTGGGAATTGAACTCAGGACCTCTGGAAGAACAGTCGGTGCTCTTAACCTCTGAGCCATCTCTCCAGCCCCGGGATATTTTTTCTTGGAGCTTATTGTTTGGGAATAAACAGGCGAAAAAAATAGATGTAAAAACAAGATTACGCTGATTGTCATAATTAAAATGATGGAAAATTCTTTGAACTTTTTTATGTCTTTAATATTTATTGAGCATATACTATTTTTCAGACACTTCTAGCTTCACAGATCTTTAATTTTACAGTTTGTTTTTGCAGAGTGGTAACCTGTGGAATAGAAAGGTCAAAGAACTTACTCTCATTTCATAGTTAGTTGTGAACCATACTCAAACAAAGGTTGTTTCACCTCAAGTCTCCTTCCTGGCATTTTCCTCTTTCTGTTCTGGAGGGGGAGGGGAGAATAGTCTTATGTAGTAATATTTCTGAAGAAGTATGGCATTTAGGATTTTTCAGGAAAAATTATATACTCATTAGTAATCACAACACGTGGCTCCATTCTTTAGTATTCTTGTTGACAGCATGTTTCTTTTCATGTACTGAGTCATGGGTTTAAAGGAAGGCAGTCAAGAATTGCTTGCAGAAAACTCTATAAGGAATGCAAACTTGTAGTACTTGGGCTGCATCGTGAACTCAGGAAAAATAGAATATTTAAAATATAAGATAAGAGAAAATTATCCAAGTCAAATTATAGAAACTTGGAAATCCCTGTTAGGACTAGATTGATATAGCATATACATTCTTATATTTTCAACTTAGAGTAATTTTATGCTATAACATAAACAGTTTTTGAAGTTATATTTTATTTATATATGTGTTGAAACTTGGCTTAATAAACTTAAACTTAAAAAAATTTCTTTTATTCTTGGTTTCAGGCGCCTAATCACAGATTCAAAAGTTAAATTAAAATATCAGCATTTAATAACAAATAGCTTTGTAGAGGTAAGTGGTTTATGCTTGTCTAATTTTTGTTTTCAAAAATTGTTTATCAAATACTAGTTCAGTTCTTTTTGTTGTAGTTTTCTTTGGTTTGGTTTTTTGAAATAGGATCTCATAGTGTAGACTTGGCTGGCTATGTAGATCAGGCTGGCCTCTAACTTGTAGAGATCCATCTGCCTCTGCCTCCTGAGTGCTGGGTTCCCAGCATCTGAAATGCTAGTTTTTCAGCTGAAGTACTAGTGTCAAACTATCAAGAACCTGTTACTATATTTAGAACACTTATTAAAAAATTACTTTTTTAACAGTGTTTTATTTATTGGTTTTTAGCCTTAGCAAAGAATTGCAGTATGTTATTAAAAATATCATAATCAAGTTGAGGACCCTAACATGGCTATTTCTCTAATTGTCTTACAATTCATTGCCAATAAGAATACTGTAGTTATGGTGCTGGAGTGAGTAGCGCTGGCTACTCTTGGAGAGGACCTCCGTTCTCCCAGCACCCACACGGTAGCTCACAGTGGTCTGTACTCCAGTCCTAGGGGATCCAGTGCCCTGTGGATATTTTCTGTGGGCGGGCACTAGGCACGAACATGGTGTATACACACATACAGGCAAAATATCCCCCACCACACTCACATAGTTTTTTAAACAAAAAAAGGTGCTATATTTATTTTATTTTTTTCTTAGACAAGTGGTCAGCAAATTATGGTTTACCTTTGGAGGTGGGTATGGTAGGACATGCCTTTAAAACACTAGCATTCAGGAAGGCAGAGGTGGATCTCTGTGAGTTCCATGACAGCCAGGGCTGCAGAGACACTGTTTCAGAAAACAAGCAAACAAAAAAGGATTTATTGAAAAATACTTACTGCATATTTGTTCTTACTGATTTTATGCTGTGATGGCAGAATTGAGAAGCTACTACAGAGAACACTGTGTATAGGAAACAAAATGATTTACTCTTGGATTTTATTGAAAGTGCCATCATAGTAATGTCTGTATAGCTTGGTATTTTAATTCTAGAAAATAGTCTTTATCTGTGTTACAGATTAAACTATAAAAGTGCATATTATATGTATACTTTACATTCTTAAATGATCGATAATACTTAATGAAGTGATCTAATGAGTTAAACCCCTAGCCAGTATACTGACTTTTGAATCCTGGTGTGGAATGTTATTTATGACATGTCTTAATTATATAATAAAAATATTTCATAGTTTGTGTTTTATCTGTGTGGGATGGTACTCAACGGGAAGTCCTAGCACTGGAGTGGCAGGGGTAAGAGAATTGCAAGTTTGAGCGTGCTCTGGACTACCTAGTGAGAGACTTCATTTTAAAACAGATAGACAGACGAAAACCCAAATTTAACACTGCATGAGGCAGAGATTGTTGGATCTCTGTGAGTTCTAGGTCAGCCTGCTCTACCTAGCCAGTTCTAGGATAGCCAGGGCTGCATGAGACCTTGTCTGGGGGGAGGGGGGGTATGACAACGGCAGTCGTAGAAACAGTTGAGAATCAGTTCAAGGGATTATTTTGTTTTCAAGCACTAGTAAGATTCAATCTTTACCTGCGGTTTAGGAGTGGTTTTGTGTTTTGTTTTTTTCTCTAGTCAAAGGGAGAAATGACTGACATAAGTCCATTAGCTTATCCCAAGCTTCTGCTTAGTGTCTGAATGAACACCTTCCCTAATTAGGAACATACCTGATTTGCATTTTAAGAAAATTCCCCTGGGCTGGTAGTGGTGGTCCACACCTTTGTGGAGGTCAGCTTGGTCTGTGGGGCACGTTCTAGGTCAGCTGGGGCTATAGAGTAAGACCGTGTCTTAGAAATAGAAGTTTACTCTAGAATTGGTGTTTATTAATAATTATAAAAATGTCTAAGCTGGCACATGGTTGCTTAATCCTGTAATCTCAGAAATTGTAGGCCTGAGGTAGGAGGGTTGCCATAAGTCTGGAGGCAAGCCTGGGTTAAGGAGTGATACTGTTTAAGTCTCAGTGGGATTTGTAGAATGAAAAATAGTTTTATAGATGAGTTCATGTTTTTAAAAATGAGTCATCCTGTGAGGATCTGGGGATACCACTTTGGTAAAAGGCTTTCCTAGCAGGTATAAGGTACCTAGAACCAAAGCAAACAAATAATGAACCAGCAAACTAGATACTCTCGAATAGGGGATGTAGCTCAGTTGCCAAAGCACTTGCTTAATGTGTGGTCCCAAACTGTATTCCAAGAACTGAAATAAACAAGTTGGAAGGATTGTTTAACATTGAAAAATCTTTAGTGAGTGTAACCTGCTACTTCTCTCTCCCCTCCCCTCCCCCTCCCTCTTTTCTTTCTTTCTCTCCTTTTTTTCTCTCTCTCTCTCTCTTCTCCCCCGCCCCCTTTCTTCTCTTTCTGTTTTTGGTTTTGGTTTTTTGAGACAGGTTTTCTCTGTGCAGCCCTGGCTGTCCTTGAACTCACAGAGATCCACCTACCTCTGCCTCTCAAGTGCTGGGATTAAAGGAATTACCACCACTGCCCTGCTAACCTGCCACATTTTTAACAAAGTGAAATAGAAATATCATATATCTTACCCATATGGAGAAAAACTAACACTCATTTCTCATTAAAAGATGATAATTGGGGTTGGGGATTTAGCTCAGTGGTAGAGCGCTTGCCTAGCAAGCACAAGGCCCTGGGTTTGGTCCTCTGCTGGGGGGGGGGGGTAATTGTAATGAGAAAATATTACACTTGGAAGACTATTGTACAAGACTGTGGCAGGCTTTGTATGGTTTTGTCTCCTCTCTTTTGACCTTATACTAGATGTTAATAATTTGTGTAGTTTAACTTGCTATCATTTTTAAGATTTTCTAACTTGTGTTTCAGTGCAACCGACTGTTAAAGTGGTGTCCTGCCCCAGATTGCCACCATGTTGTTAAAGTCCAATATCCTGATGCGAAACCTGTTCGCTGCAAGTGTGGGCGCCAGTTTTGGTAAGCAAGTAATTTCCTAAATGAGTGAAGCGAATGGAGGGTTTCTACTTTCTCTTGGTAATAAAATAGGGGAACACTTCATGCTGGGAGATAAGTGATACTAGTTAAGAAATAGTGTATAGTTTTTTTAAGTTAAGATAGAAATCACATCTTGAAATTTTTTTCTTCTTTCCAAGATGCCTTTTATCTTAGAGAGAGAGAGAGAGAGAGAGAGAGAGAGAGAGAGAGAGAGAGAGAGAGAGCGAGAGCGCGTTTTGTTTGAAGGCAGTCTGATTTTATAGTTTCATAGCCTCAAATTCACGTTCATACTTTTCCTCAGCCTCCCAAGTTCTGGGTTAAGCATATACCACCACACCTGCTGAATGTATTGTTCATCAAGGGAAAATAAAGCTATAATCATAGTTTTCTTTGTATTTCATTTTAACTTTTAATGAGAGAAATCTGGGTTAATTGCCTTTTGTTTCAACACTCAGAAAACTCAAGTGTGAGTGTATGTGTGTGGTACTTAGGTGCTCATGTGTGTGCTTGGTGATGGTGTGGTGGTGTCTTGGGGAATCAAACTCCAGTCAAAGCTTAGTTGGCAACGCTTATCCACTGAGCCTTCTCTCTGGTCCAGATTGCTGTCGTCATGTAGTATTTTGTTCTATCTGGCTCTTGCTCTCTACCTTTATATTGTCATTGACTAAGGAATAAATAATATGCAGTTTATTTAAAAACAAAAAAATTCCTTGATTTAGACAAGATTTTTTTGTAATCTTGTATTTATTTATGTTTTGTTGTTTTCCTTTATTAAGAAATTTTCAGCCGGGCGGTGGTGGCGCACGCCTTTAATCCCAGCACTCGGGAGGCAGAGGCAGGCGGATCTCTGTGAGTTCGAGGCCAGCCT